TTTGTGTCAAAAATTCAACGGATTTATTCAATAACACACCTGGAAGTTTTAATTTTGACTATGTAAGCATGTCAGGGGCAGGTTCAGCATTTTTTGATGTTTGCAAAGCTTCAAACATTTATATGTTATACTCTCTCTCTCAAAAAAGGATTCTTTCTAAAAAATGAAATGATTAAAGCCTGGAAACAAAAAAGACCTAAAAAATAAATAGAAACCCTAATACAAATAAAAATTCAAAATAAATATATTAAACATGTAATAAAAAAAAATGATAAAAATAATAACAAAACTAATTGATGGTTATAAAAATAAAGATAACAAGAAAAATCAAAACGATATTATTATTAAAAAAGTAGTAATAAGGTAGTAACAACATCAAAAAAGGTAATAACAACATTAAGAGGTAGTAACAAAGTAAAAAGACAGTCACATAGTAATAAAACACACTCTAGTGTGTTTTATTACTAGCATGCAAAGAAATTTTATTGATATAATAAAATAAAATTAATTTTTTCATATTATCTTAAAATAAATAAAAATTAATCGAGAGTTTAAAATTTCATCGATCAATCATTTGCTGTTAAAAAGTTTTAGGCATTTTAAATTGTGCATTATTTGCACATTTCAACAAATAACTTTAAACGCTCTCAACATTTTAACAAAAACTTTTTTTTCGAACGAAATTTGGAACCGGGCGATTAATTTTAATTTTTGTTAGTTTAAAATTAGAGGGAAAAAATTATAAAGGGTGTTCCACCTTAACTAAATTCAAAGTAGGGTATCTCCAACAACTCTTGTACCCTAATAAAAAAAAAAAAAACTACAGTATTTTTGATAAAGTTTTTTTTTTAACATTTTTTAGTTTGAGTAAGATTGGCTTCGATAATTCGCATTAAAAAAATATATATATCTTTTTTTGAGGATTTTAATGATACTTACTAACCTTTCACAATATATAAATGATAAATACTAACCTTTCACAATATATAAATTCAATAGATAAATACAATAAAATTAATGATGTAGTTTTTTCATTGGAAATAAAACTTCTTTTTTTTGCAAAGGAATAATTTTTTTTCTAAATTCCACTCATCCTTACAAAAGTTTTATATAAATTTATATAAAATAACTACCTACAAAAACTGACATAAAAAAAAACCACTTTATAGATAATCACAATTAAAATAATTAAAAACTATTTATAATAAAACCACTTAATTGCCAAAAAATATTCTTGAACCTTATACACCGAATTTACATTCCTCCTTGATTCTTAAGGATTGTACAAATAGTAATCGTCGTACTTTTGGGGCATGCGCCGTTCTCGAGTACTTCGTAGTAGAGACACTTCTGTTTCTTAGAACTCATTACGGTTTCAACGTTTGTTTCTAGAATGTAATCTTTACTTGTTTAAAACACATCTTTACTTTTCTCAACATGGTTTTCCGCGTTATTACGACCCTTTTTTCGACTTTAGGAATATCGCATAAACTTTGGATGTCATTTCAAGATTGAATACGTTTTACGTGACGCGGAACGTCATTAACTTGAACAACTTGTTTCGAAATGTTTTGAGTTAGTTTTGCTGGCTGTCGCTTAGTATGGCATTTTGCATTTGATGGTTTTAACCATACGTTATCGCCATTTTTAAATATTTCGTTAATGTCAGTTTTTGCCGGAAGGTTATCATATCTCAATTCTTTCTCGTCAATTTGATAACTGTATATTTTGTTTATTGGGCTTTTATTGTTTTTGTTGGCTGAATGGTACCAATATATTGCTTCCAGTATTAACGTTTTTAATTTTTCTGCAATTTTTTTAACTGTACGATGGTTTCTTTCCACAATTCCATTTCTTTTGGGATAATAAGCAGGTTTAAACCTAATGTACAATTTACTCTTGTTTGTATTAGAAATAAATTTAGCATGTGCAACTACTACTCCAAGTTTTACATTGACTTTAGAACCATATTCTTCAATAAGTTGTTGCAAAACGTTTATTCTTCTTCAAATTAATTTTTTATCCATTGCTTTTGATTTTAACTTTGATTTACTATCTTTAGCACCAGAGACTCAGTCACAGAATCTGTAAAAATAATCGCTTTTTTTAGTTTCTATGTTAAAGCCATATTCATTCTTTGCATTACAGCATTTAGTTCAAAAGCCTGATGTTCATGTTTATGTGAACATCAGAAATATACTATGGTCACGGAAAAACTGCCCGTAACTAACAACAGAATAGCAAATAACCTACCAACTGTTCACAAACAACTACTATTCTGTTTAGCTTTTTCAGAATCACATCAACTCGATTCCCTCTGGACCATATCATCTTGCCACCAACCTTGTGCACACACAATCCCAATACACAAACCCCTCAACATCCAATCTGTTCACCTTCTTTAATCTCCGAACTATATTTTTCAAAATGTCTTCTAACATAATCAAAACTTATTATTTCCTCATTGACAAAAATGTTGCTTGTGTAAGCGGATATTCTCCTCTTTACCAATTCGTCTTGAATAATAATGGCACTCACGGCGGATTTAATAATCATTTGCGCAACATTTAGTCCAAAACCAATTGTCGTACCAAACAATACTATTTGTTTCAAATTACCACTGTTCTGAATAATCAGAGAAATTCCTCTGTATTTAATTAAAGATAAGCCTTGCATAAATCAAAGATTGCTGGTTTGTTTTCCATTCTTCTCCATTCCCTCAGCTTCTCAACAAACACAACTGCATTTCATGTATACGTGTCTTGATAAAACTTTTAACATTTTTCCAGTCCAGTCTAATTCTGTTCTTGCATGTTTTGGTATGATGTAATGGTCAACTTTGTTAAATAATTGGTTGAGGCCATCTCCATCTTTCCAATTCAACACCATCAAATATTGCTTTATGATTTTTTTTTTTTTAATGTCAATTTTATTGACTTTGTTTAATATATTGGTAAACTCTTGGTATCTGTTAAGAACGTTCTCTTTGATGTTATAAAAGTCAAATGGTTTGCACAAAACTATGCTGGTATTACCTTTTTTCAGTTTTAATAAATTATTTCTACATTTTCCGTAAAATTATTTTAACGGCTATGGTTTCAAAAATGTAATCAGTTTCTAGTGTAATTTTTTTTTTTGCATGCAATATTTCTACTAGGGTGTGAAAATAAGGATTTTATCATGTTAACTTTTTAAGTATACACAACCTTTCGCTTATATACATCGTTTCAAACTGGCTCCAAGTTTATTGCATATTCTGTCCGTCCATAAAGTACATACGCTTTTATCTCGACTCTCCCCCTTCCTTCCCGACATTTTACTGTACTTTTTTTTGAGTACCCTCTACCTCCCTAAAAGTACCTACGCTTTTGACCTACCTATCTAATATTTTATGATATTTTTTTAACTTTACTTTTTTTTTTATATATATTACCCACCGCCCCCTCTCCCCTATCCGAGCATACATACTTTATGGACGATCCCTTAGATGTCTCTGTCCGTTGTCAGTTTATGTTATAAGTCGCTACTTTAATATTTTATTTTGAACATTTGTTTTGATTTTTTATCCCTGATTTTTTATTCTATGATTTTTGTCCGGTCGTGGCGCAGTGGTTTGAGCGCTTGCTATATAAGATCCAAGTTCGAAACGAGCTATAGATATATTTTCGCGTCAGGGTAAAGAAGGAGGCGTGAACTTTCTGGTTAAATGAACTTCCCGGTGCTCTGTGACAAGACCGTAGGTCTTATTGGGGCACCTAAATAACAAAAAAAAAAAAAAAAAAAAAATTTTATTCCACTTAATTTTATTCTAGCGAATCAGATTGCGCCTTTCTATGCTTGTTATGAACCAGAATAAACTTCAAATTATGCATGCGGAAACAACGTGCCGCGGTTATAATAAAAACAAATATTTTGATTTTTAGTTGTTATTTGTTTCTAAACCTTAACAGACAAAATCAGAGAAACCTAGATTGATGTTATTATTTGAGTATGCAAGTATAATATTAATAAATAAATTAGTTGCTGAGCACAACAATTACTTGATATTTTAGTCAAACTTAAGTAATTGTTATGCTCAGCAACTGACTTAATAATATCATACTTGTATACTATGATAATATAATAAGTTGTCATCTTATAAGTATTTTAATTAAATATTAGTTAATTATCAAGTTTTAAATATGCTCAGTAACGTGCATTAATTATTTATAAAGTACTGAACAATGTTGAGTACCTTATTAATTTATGAAGTAGATTTTTAGATTAATTTTGATTAGTACAATTAAGAGATTTTTTAAAAATTAAAAAAAGAGTTTTAAAATTTAGTTCTTTCGCTGCATCAAAATAAAAAATTAATTTATGAAGTAATGAATTACTGTAATGAAGTAACCTAATTCAATACCTAATTCATTAATTAATTTTTTATTTTGATGCAGCGAAAGTACTAAATTTTATAAATGTTTTTTTTAATTTTTAAAAAACCTCTCAATTGTACTAATCAAAATTAATCTAAAAATCGTTAAAAAAAACTCCAATTGTGCTATTAACAGGTTGTAACAATGTGTACATTGTTACAATCTGTTAATAGTACAGTTAGAGTTTTTTTGTGTAGTATGAAAGTGCAAAAAATTTTTCTCAAGCCCATGCAACTTTGTATTATATTATAAATTAATGTAAAAATTCTAAAAGAAAATCTGTAGTTGTAGTATAAAAATTATTTTTGCATAAAATTTTTACAATTCAAACTAATTAATAAGTTGAAAGAGTTCCTTGTTTCCAATATCCCAGTATTTTTTAATTTTTGAGCTACTCAATCAAAAAGTATTTTACAAATTAATTTTAGGAAACAGTTTCTCCAACAAATTAAATAGTCAAAAATTACTCAAAAAGTTCTAAGTTTCAATTTGCATTAAAACTTTACTTATCTTTGGTGTCTTTTTTAGCTTGGTTATTCTATAAAAATTCCTGAGTGTGGTCAATTTAATTTTTATTTTAGAACAGTACGTCTTTAATAATGCCTGCCTTTTCGCTTCGAATTATTGATGCAAGTTATTATATGGAGAAACCTATACAAGGGTTAGATTTCTGTTTTTCAGAATTTCGGCAAACTGCAATTTACCATGTTCCTGTGATACGCATTTTTGGTACAACACCTCTTGGACAAAAATCTTGTCTTCATATTCATCAAATCTTTCCATACTTATATGTTCCTCTACCCGCTGGTGTTGATAATGGTTTAAGATTTTGTAAAGAGTTTGCAATGAGTTTAGATTCTGCACTAACAATTTCTTTTGGGAAAAGTGTATCACAACAACGTCAACATGTTTTCAAAGTTGAGATAGTAAAAAAAATGTAAGTTAATTTATAAAATCTTATGCTTTTTTGATTTTATTAAAACAAATAATTCATTATACCATATTTAATTTAACAGATACATTCTTATATAAAAATATAAATGAATGTGTTTGTAATCAATGCAGTTATTACTAATAATGTAGCAGTGAGGTAGGAAGTAGTAGCAGAAACTTACAAGTTACATTCTTATATACAAATAGCAAATACTTTGCAGAAAGCATAGCAGCTATGTTGGATGTTTAGTTGAAAACCTATTACCATCAAACAGAGTGGTTTTAATAGAATTTAAACATATTTGCAAAATAATGTTTTGGTATAGTATTTTTTTTCTGATTTTTTATTTTTCTGATATTATAAATCTGATAAATTTATACCATCAGCTTATTGCTTTGTCTAGAGCGATTTTTTTTTCTCAACCTTTCATGCTGCATCATAGCCACAGTGCTTCTTGAGATGAGCTACTGCATCTTAAGGCCTTGTGAAATAAAAAATGCTTAACACATTAGCCTAATATAAATTTGATATCATAAAACTCTCCTTATTTTTTTATTTTTTAAAGACGTAGGCTTTTTTAAACTACAACAATATAATTTAAAACAAAAAGAGATCAATTAAAAAATTAGCTCAAAAATAATGCAGAAATGTTATAATGGAATGTTTACTTTCTATAAATTTTTTTAAATACTAAGTAATTAAACTCAATATTATATTTTTAAAAATGTTTAATATAAACTAATTTTTTTTTCTTTTCTCAACATTAATATAAATTAAATCAAATATTAATTTATTATTTAAAATATTAATTTTTTGTTATTGTTATATCTTAAATTTTTAATATCATTTAATTTTTTTTTTTTTACTTGCAAAGACATTTTTTCATGAGACAAAAAAAAAGGCGGGAAGCTAATCTTTTCATTTTGATAAAATGCTGTTTTCTATTTTACTGGAAATATTTTTTGAGCTCTTATTTCATAACCACGAATAATAAATATAACAATAACATAATTACTAGTTGTGTTTTTGGAAAGAATATAAATTAAAAACCACCCCAAACTTGTTTAACAGCAAAAAGTTAAAAGTTGATGTTGCTACAAATAAAAACAAAAATGCTTTTTACAATATTCTTCTCAGGTTAATGGAATGAGCCTTTTACTAACAGTATAGATGCTTGTAGTTTTTAAGGGGTACTAAGGTTAACTCAAACATTGAAACACAAAGTCTAAATTTTATGTTAGAATTTTAAGTTACATGTCAAAACAACATTTAGCTTTTTCCTAATCGTTTTTATTAAACCTGGTATATCTTCTAAATTTAAACTTTTCTCATAACTTTTTTTCATAATTATTTATGAATGTGTGCATGTTTTCTTTGGTGTTCTTGCAACAAGACTGCCAGAAGACTCTTGCTCCATTTTTGAGCCATACAGTTAGCAGTCTATTGAAATTTATCTTGCTGTATGTTGTTAACATTTAAACCCTCTTTAGATATCTCAACTCTCTTTGCAGCATTAGTTATGTTATCCTTTGAAGCTTATTTGTTCCTAAAATTGTCATGAAGCCTTCTTGGTTTATTGTTTGGAAAGTTGTAAAAAATTTGTATCTTTTTTTTTTTTTGTCATATTCATGATGGGTGTTCTTGTTAGGACTTTGATCTAACAGTTTAGTCACCCCAGTTTTATCAGGAGGACTTATAAACAAGTTAGTTTTCTTTTCATGGAGGAAATGTAGAACATTGTTGTCAAATCTTGAACTGTGTCCATCTGTTAGTATTACAATAGTTCGTTGGAGATTCTCTTCTGACAAATATATATCAAACTTTTTTGTATAAGTTCAATAAGATATGTTTATCCTGGCTTCCTTTTTCAGTAGATATAATTAAATTTTTTGTATTTTTGACAGCTGTTTTTGGGGCCATATGTTTAATGATACCTTTACCAGCATAAATAACTTGTGAAACAACAAACTCTCCTGAAATGTAAAGGTATATATTAAAAGTTAAAATCTAATAATATTAATTATGAATAAACTAATACCTTCTTTTCATGGTGATAAAATTATTATTCACTAACACTAACGTTGTTAACTAAGACTTCCACAGTGATAAAAACATGTGAATTGCTTTTTTTTTTTAAATAAATATTAATTTAAATAGTTTAAATTACTGAATTGGTATTATTATTTATACAAATTTTTTTTGCTATTACTACCTGCCAATGAAACAACTGGACATATAAAATTCTTATTGTTTTAATATCACAATTCCAAACACCAGGTTCAAGGTTTTGGAGTTTGTGGAAAACTCCACAAACTTCAAAACCATATTTAATGAGTACTTCAGCCGATTAATCTAAAAGATAGATTCAAAATGTTTTTGCTAGTACAATCCAGCCTAAGGCTAATCTAAGACATTTATCTATTTGCTTTTATTATAGAGCATATCAGCAACTAAAGTACAAAAAGATACATAAGTTCTTCCAGTATGAGACATAATGAGACAATATTCATTATATTCTTACCTAAATGTGACTTTATCATCCCTCTTGTAAAATGCAATGCGTTTTTAATTAGTATATTTTCTTGTCTTTTCAGAACTAAGTCATAGTGCTCTGCTTCCCATCTCTGCCAAAACTACTGACCAAGCCTATAATAAGTTTTAAAAGTTATGGTTAGAAAATGGTTATATTGGAGTTATATAGAATAGTGTTAAAAAAGAAATAACTAGTGTGCAACATTTCATAAACTAACTTTTTTTTCATTATAACTTACTTTGTATCTAAACTGTAACACTATGCATAATTTCTAACTTATCTTTACAGCATATTTTGCATTATCAGATAATTTGACAAATTTGTAACCACTTCTATCCTTTTTAAAAATAGATTGGTGACTTGCTTTCTTGATATTCCTTGATGACACCTGTTTTTATTTTCAATGAATTCTACAATAGAATGTTCTTCTTCTGCTGTCAAAATTATCAATAACGTTGGTACATACTAATGCCCAAAAATTAAATATTTACAAAATTTTTAGTGAATCTCAAAATTTAGCTAAATTTAATATTTTATATTATAAAACTTTGCTGAAAACCTCCTTGCTGTATTTAAGGATTAACAACAAAAAAACAACAACTTTCCTTTGAATCCCAAATTTGTCTAAAAACCATAGATGGAAAAATATAAGCAGGGAAGACAATATTTAGTAGTTTTTAAGTACAGAAAGTTTCAGCACTTCAGAAGTTTCCAATATTACATATACCTTTAACACATTAAAAATTAAAAGATTAATTTAAATAACTTTTTGATCAAAATTTTTTTTTAAATCTTGAATTAGTAAGTGTTGAATATAAAGTATGATATTAAAAAAACTTTTTTTATCAGGTCTTGTTTTAAAGCGTTAAGCTGCCAGCAATTTACATACGCGTTAAGCAATTTTATGTACGCCTAGAGTGATTTCTATTAAGCGATTTTTTATCATTTTTTAAGTTTTAAATTATTCTACAAGCAGTATAATAAAAGAATATATTTTATAAAAAACCACATTAACTCTTAAATGATGATTATGTAATGACAATTTGAATGACAATTATGTTATATATTACTATATTTGATTGATATTTATTAATGAAAAAAACGCAATAAAGATTAAAAACAACGAAAACTTAGTCTCTATTAAACTAATTGTTTAATAATATTTAGTAATAGAAAACAAAATTGTTTATAGTTAATGAGAATTTTTTTTTGTGCAGAAATAAAGTTAGATCTTTGGAAAAATAATCTTTGGTTTTTTATTAGTGATTTTGGTCAACAAAATCACTAATAAATTTTTTATAAATTAAGTAAATAAATAATATAATTTTTCATTTGTTACTTGCTAATTTTTTTTAAATAAAAAATCATTTTTAGTTGCAAAGCCGCAATTAGAATTTTAAGAAATAATCATTTTATTAATGTTGATATCGGGTGGACACAGAAAAATCCGGTCAACTTTAAATTGAGATTTCTCTAAAACCATAAATGTTTTTTATTTCAATTTTTTTATTATTAAACGTGTTTACGTAAATTAGAGTTTCAACTTAATTTTAAGGGGCTTGATAGGTTGTTTGGCATCGAACTTTATAGCAAGTTGATGCCATCATCTCGCAGATTTTTTCTTTTTTCACCTTATTAGTGGCATTAATCCACTTTTTTTAAAAGTCCTTTTTACTATTTGTTACTCCACCTGTCTTATGAAGAACTCCTTTAATTAATGCCCAAAAATCTTCAATCTTTTCAGAATGATTTGGAGGATTCGCATCTTTAGGAACAATTTTCACAATATTATCCTTGCACCACTGTAGAACTTTTTTAGAATAGTGTAATACATCGGTATTTGTGTTTTTTTATAAAAGGCAAAAGTCTTTTTTGGAGGAATTCTTTGATGTAGAGATTGGCAGTCAAGGTCTTCTTAGTGACAAAACAAAAGAACTGCATACCACAGCTACAAATTGCTTGCCACACAAGGAACTTGGATGCAAATTTTTCTCGTTGAATATATTTAAATTGATTATCGACAGGTTTATCTTTGTTCTCATAGTAAAATTGTTGACCAGGAAGTTGTGAAAAATCCGCCTTGCAATTTGTTTCGTTGTCTTCAATTATGCACATATTTTTATCCGCCATTATTTTAACCAATTTCTTTGCGCATTGAATTTTTAAGTACTTTTTTTGATATAAGAACGAAAAGTCTTAAATTTTCTTGCTAGATCTCATTGTGACTGGTTTGGATTTCTTGCTATTGAACGTAAAATCAACTTTACCTTTTTGGATTTATGGAAAGTTTTTTTTCTTCCACTTCCAAGTTTTCTTTCGAAGCTTTGAATAGTCTTGAACTTGTTTATAATATCTATGACTGTAGATTTTGGGACATTTGTGTGTTTAGCAATCAAACGATATCAAGTCGATGGTTTTTTGCAAAAAAAATTCACAACTTTTTTACGCACCTCAATTTGTTTCCAAAACATTTAGCAAATCATTAATTTGTAAACAAAAATTTATCAACACCATTTAAGATAAAGAAGTAACATTAAATTAAAAAAAGTTTAAATGAAAATGTATTTGTGGTTTTAGAGAAATCTCAATTTAAAGTTGACCGGATTTTTTGGTGTCCACCCGATAAAGAAATAAATTTGTTTATAACAAACTATCAAACGTCTTTAAAAATGCAATATTAAATTTAATTGTTTAATATAAAAAAATTGAAAGAAAATAAGCATTCCTTAGTAGTAATAATTAAAAAAATTAACTTGTTTTATGGTAATTAATATTATTGCAGTAATTAAAAAAAGTTAATGTCTTTAAAAAATAGAAAAATAAAAAATTTCATGACGTCAAATTCATGTAAGGCTAATGCGTTGAGCATTTTTTATTTAAAACAAGACCTGTTTTATTATATATTTTTTTATTGGTTTGCTTCAAGCTTGTTTGCATCCAATATTTGTGTTTTTTAACTGGAAAAATCAATCATTACTATAAAACACAATAAAAATAAAATAATATAAACAGCTATTATATACAATAGCACTTTTTTGTTATTAAATTATTTTTATTATTAAATAGAAATTTAAGAAAATTTTTTTAATGCTATAAAAAAAAACTAAACTGTTTTCTTTATTTTCTGTTTCTATACATTTTAATAGAAAACTTTTGATTATAAAGCTTAAGTTTTTTTTGTTTTTAATTTTATCTGAGTTTTTTTTATTTGTGAATAGTGCTTATATCCAACATAATTGTCATTCAAACTTTTGTAAAAATCTTTTTTATATAATTGTCGAAGTGGTTCTTTATAAACTTTTTATTTATCTTACTGCTTATAGACCAATTTGAAAGTTAAAAAATGATAAAAAAGTTTCTTAACGGAACTTAAGAAGCTCTTTATCATTTAGATGTACGTAAAATTTATCATATTGGTGTATGTAAAATAGCTTAACAGGTATGTAAATTGCCTGCAGCGTAACTCTTTAAAACAAGGCCTGATCTTCATTGAATTTTTCCTTTATGGTCTCGCTGCCATGACCTTTATTGACATTTTGAGGTCTTTTTAATACTTATTCTTGATTCAATGGATTTATGTCTGAAGATTCCCATCTAGCTGTTAGGTTCTCTGTATTCAGAGTATTCTGCAACTTTGTCAAGAATGTTAAAAAATGTTTCAGTAATTAAACATTGGTTCTTGATTCACTTTACTGCGTTTCTAAAACCTTTTTTCACTCCACTTTTAAGGATTTGAAGACAGCAACAGTATTTGGTTTAACGTGTGTCATTCAAAATTAAACATGTAAAGGAAATATAATTTTCCAGCACACTTTGATGACATAAGATGAAAAATGTGAAGCTAAATTTTTTCCAATACTGACCTTTGTATCTGTAAGAGATCTCCATTTTTTTAAGGAGAAAAATTTTTGAATGTTCCAACCAACCAGGTTATGAACTGTCAATAATGCTTCTAGGAAAACCACCGTGTGTCCATTCTATGTAGCAGTTTGCTGCTTTGTAAACAACCATGGTAAAAAATAACTGATCAGCTGCATTCCCACAGTACACAATACTAACAGCCCCAGCATTTTTTTTTAACAAATTTACGACTTCATTTACAAATTACTATTTTAAAGTCTGGGTTATTGCTCAAATTTATCTCATTATAATTAAATATATTAGTTGTGGTAATGTTTTGTATTGTGATGGATAATGCTTCATAATAAAAACAAACTGACTTTAATCAAGTTAGGTTTTTGCCAGTTTTACTTTATCAGCAAATCAGGCATTTCAGTTGATACAAATAATGAAGGATTTCATCCAATCAGGGCCAGATTAAAAATACTTTTTTTATTTTGTATCAGTGACACCTATCCATTAGCAGGCGTATATTCTTCATATCCAAAGGTATTTTCCAGTTGTTTACAATGTCAAGATATATTTGAAATGCATTTAGCCTAATGCTGTTGAATGCAATCCATATGAGCAACCACCCAATGTAAATTTTTATAATAATTTATAAATAAATTAAATAATTTATGATAAATTATTATATTTATGAAAATTTAAAAAAATACAAACATTGTTTATTTAGAGGATAGAAATTAAAGTTTAATTGTAACTTTTCTTTAAATAAATGAGAATTGGAAGAGAAAATTGCTTGAAAACTTGAATTTGTCAATTTTGTTAGTTGTTTAATTTTACTTGTTAATAGGCAAAGGCCAAATACGACACATAAATTAGGAAATACCAAATATAATATGTTTTTTAATGCGCGTAACAGTATTTTGACAATTTAAATTTCCATCTATCTTGAATTATTGCCATTAATTAATGTTAATTATTAATTAATAATAATTTGTCTGTATTTTTGTGAAATATTAGTTGCATAAAACGGGCGAAAATATACGTACTTCATGTTTATAATTTGATGGTTAAAAAATATTGAACAATAAACTTATACTGTCAACTTTACTTCGTTTTTAATCGTTATTTTACTGCAGTTAAATTTAGGCATGATGAAAAATTTGTTTAATGAATTAAATGGATTTTTTCAAGTTCTAAAATGTTGTCATAACTGGTTTATGAAGAAAATAATTTTTTTTTTTAAATTCAATATGTTTTGATTGAGGTTTTTAACTTGGTGCAAAGTAGCTCCAATGAGAGGGTTTCTTTGCACCACATAATGAAAATATGTTTTCAATGTTAAAAACAAAAAAAAAATTTTGCCCAAAAAGGTTACTTCAGTAAAGAGAATTCCACAAAACACTATTTTAAATAAGTACAATACTTTATGTAGCTTAAAAAATGGTTTTAAAACTGAAAACATAAAAAGTATAAGATTTTTTTCAGGAATTTCACAAAACACTACTTTAAATAAGTAAAATACTTTTAAATAAACAAATATTAACCTTATAAATAAAGTTTTAATTTAAAAATAAAAGATATATAAATCTAAAAATAATTAAGATATCAGTAAAAAATAAGCTTCTATGAAATAAAAATAGTTTATTATTTTTACTTTTTACAAAATTTTTTTGCGATGTTTGGAAAAATAATAAAAATAAATTTGTTTTGCTGTATATTGAAAAAAATACTACATCATACTTTTTGAATTAAAATGAAAAAATGCAGCTTTGTTTAATTACACTTTTCATTTGTTAAAAGTTTACCGTGACGTCAAATACTAAAACTTTTATGAATTAAACGCGCTTCAAAAGAATCGTCAAAGTCTGTAGATTGCAACAAATAATTTAAAGACTCCGTGTTTTTGAATAAAATGGAGAAGGCGAGCTTCGGCTAAACATTAGTTTTTCTCGGTATGCATTCATTATTTATTTTTAATCAAAAAAACTTGGTTCAAACCTTTTTTTTTTAACAATATCTTTAATATGAACCCAACATGAGTTTGGGATCCCTTTATATTTTTAAACATTAAAACATAAAAGTTAAAAATAACATTTTCATTTAATCTGAGTTTTCTGGGTTTTAATATTTAATAAAAATATTTTTTTTATTATTCTTCTCTTTAAAATATATTATTCACATAAGTTTCTATTGTGCATTTTCAAAAAATAAAATCATCTGATAAAGTTAAGTAACTCTATTAAAGAAAGTAAGTAATTGTCACCATGTTTAGAAAAAAATGACAAAAAATATAGTAGATTACATATAATGAAAATATATAATAAAATTGTACCAACCCTACCAGTACAAACTTGTAGTTCAAATAATTTTATTGATTATATAAATCTTGTTTTCTTTTTTTTTTTTCTTTCATTTAGACCGTTTTATGGGTATTACAAGAATGAGAAGGATTTTCTTCAAGTTTATTTATATAATCCCAATCATGTTTCAGTGTATGTATTTATATATATATATATTTTATTTAGTTTTACTTTTTAAAATAATATCCTGTCTCTGGGTAAAATCAATCATTTAAAAAAACTACAATGTTATTATAATATTTATATATTTGTTTGCCATAAGTAAGTACTTATGACTTTCTTTTGAGGTAGAGAGGTAGGGATTGCTTGTTTGGGTTGGGGAGGAAGAAAGTTCACTTTTACAGACATCTCAGTAATTTTCCATTTTTTAATCTATATTTTTATAAATAACTTATGTGAACATTTCATGATTATTTTAATACTGATCAACCTTTCAAAGTGAAATTTCTCTGTAGTTAAATTTATGTTTAGAGCTGGAGATTTGCTCATAAATGGCTCAGTAATGAATCAGTTCTTTCAACCTTTTGAAACACATATACCATTTATTCTTCAGGTTAGTTAACTATTTTTTCATTCCGTTATTTTTTATAAGTGTCTTTTTGCCTAAATGAAATAATGTGTTTTATCACAACAACTAATTATAGATTATGATAGTTATTATAAATTCTAAATTATAAAAGCATAAACAATGTGTTTAGGGATTTAGCTTCTTTTAAGTTCACATTGAATTTATAAAATATGATAATTATTATAAATTATAAATTATGAAAGCATAAACATTATTTATGTGTTTAGGAATTTAGTTAAATTTTCTTTTAAGTTCACATTGAAATAAAGTTTTTAGTTAAAGTTGAAGAAGTGGAGTTTTTAGATTCTTTAAAAGTTTCTTGCAACTCTAATATTTTTCAAAAATGAAAAAACTAAAGACATCTTTAAACAAACATAGAAAAAAAATGTTGATTTGTATTTTCTATATCATAGTGAAACAGTTGTTTACATCTTTTTAATATCTTTAAAACTAATCCATTCTAATTAAACTGCCTAAACTAAAAATATCAAACTAAATTTCACTGTTTTATTAAAACAATAAAACATTAAAATAATAGTTTTAAGTAATAATATATACTGTAACTTAGCAACTCAAAAAATAAAATAATAGCAAAAATATTATTTTATAAATATAATTTTATTCCAACTTTCAATATTAGTGTGGCTGAGTGGATTCCGCTTCAAGCTAGTAAACCAAGATTTCCAGGTTCGCCTCTCAGTATCAAAGTTGTTTTTTTTTTTTTTTTAGTTAGTGCACAAAGGTTATTTTTTTTGTTATTGCACACTTTTATGCACCAGCTGAATAAAGTTCTGCACATGGACCATATAATGTCAAAGTGCAGAAAGTGCACTGCACATAGACTGTTACAGCCGTAACAGTTTGTTAACAGGCTACAATTACTTATTTACGTTAACCGAGTGTACACATTGACTAATAAGATTTAAGCTTAGTTGATTTTACAATCAACATGTCGATACATCAACTGAGGGTTTTGGTTTGGTCAGAAACTCTTTTAATTAAAAAAAAGTCTTTTCTAGATTTAAATCTAAAAAAAAATAAAATGTTGCGTCACAAAATTGAGACCCACCCCCCTCCCTCTCATAACAAATTGTCACAAAATCAGTTTTATTACCGTATTATTCCAAAATGACCTTCGTCCCAAAAAACAAGTTAATTCTCTAAAACCAGTTGATGAAGGTGACAAGTTTTTAATTGCAAAGGCAATAAAATTGAATTAGCTGATGTTAACGAAGAGATTTCTAACAAAGGAATTTCTGTAGAAGAACAAAATACTGTTGAAAGTGATACCAATCTAGCTGGGAGCAAAATATTGGGAATACTGAACAAGCATCAAAGCAGTTTCAATCACAGATTGAGGTAGCACAATGTCAAAACAAGGAGTTGAGGATGGCGCAAAATTTCTTGACAAGCTTAGTTTACTGTTGCAGACAGGAGAAACTTCAACTAGGCACCTTTTGTCACCATTATCAAAAAGCATTATAATATTGCATGCCACAATAAGAAAAGAACAGAGAAAAATTCAAAACATGTACAGTTTTAGGGTTTTTTTTAATTAAAAAAAAAATTAAATTGTTTTTCTGAGTTATTGATTTTCTTCTAGTGTTTTCAGAATTTTTTTAGCTTTTTTTAAAATTCCAATTCTCCTTTTTATTAACCCTTTCCCCCCCCCCTCCCCTTCTGTTTGTTTGATTTAAGAAATATTCAAGACACTTTTGGTTTATTAAGACCCCCCCCCCTTCCTCCTCTCCGTATACTCGACAGGCAAGAGTAAAAAAAACAAATTAAAAAGTAAAAGTAAGTAAAAAAAAGTAAAAATAAGTAAAAAAAAAAAAAAAATTAGAAGTCATGGTATTTAATTTTTCTTTATGTAAAACTTCTTATTTATTATATAAATATAAGAAAATTATAATATAATTATATTTAAAATAATATAATTACGTTGTATATAGTTATATATTTTCTATAATAACTTGGATGTATCTTAATAAATTCAAATCAATAAATTCAAATAAATTTAAATTTTTACAATAAAGTTTGTAAACAATAATAAAGCAATATTTTAAATATATCAAAGGTTTTATTTATTTATAAATTAAAATTTAAAGTTTTTGACACATTTCAAAAATTTTATTTATGTTTTTTTTTTAAATTAAATTTATGCATTATTAATACACAGTTTAAAACCAAAAATATTTCTTTAACCATATTTTTCAGACAAATAAAAGTTTGTTACTTTTGGTTGCATTGTTTGAGTTTTGTTTAACATCGTTTTTAAAATTTTTTAATTGTAATTGTTATTTATTATTAACTATATTGTTGTAATATAGTTTGTTATTAAATGATTTTATTTACTGTTTAGTTTTATTTACTGTTTAGTTTTATTACTGTTTAGTTTTTTATTGACTACAATTTGCATGGAATGAATTTTATTAATCTTTCGAGCGTTTTGTTTCGAACACCACTACCAAAAAAAGGTTGTTTTTTTTTTTTAATTTTCTTGTTATTATATAATTCTTTTTAAAGTTGAGATTTTTTTATTATTGAAATTTTGACTCAACAATTGAAACTCTAAAATTTAAATTTTTTGATTTTATTAAAAAATAATTTTTTTGTTTTGTTTTTCAAAAACATAGTTTTTATGTTTTTGTGTTGAAATTTTAATTGCAACTGTTAAGCTTCCTATGATTTTTTCTGTTGAAGTTAAGAATCAACTCAAATTAGGTTAAAAATCAGTTCTCTGGCACACGCTTTAAAATTAGTGCATGTTCTTTCTTGTGTCTGAGTTTAGCCAATAATTAGTTCTCTAGCATGGGCTCCAAAGTTTGTGTTAATACTTCTAAATACAGATTTTGAAGCCCCCTTGCCTTTTTTCCCATTTCCTCATTTATCAATTTTGAAGGAATGTAAAACAGTTTAGAATTTTTTTTACTTTAGAAATAGTTCTTTTCTTTTCTTGAAAGTGTTTAATGCCAACTAATTCATTACATAAAATAATTAAAACATAAGTTTTTCCATCGTAGATGAAAATGTATGGAAGCAATCAAGAAATTGCTTTTTTTGTCAAGGAAGCAGAAGAATTTACAAGAATTCTTTTTACAAAATAAATTTCTTTTTGTTAATTAAATGGGAGTTATGTTTCTAAAATGTTCTTGATTTAATTATTGTTCTTACTTTTAGTTTATTTGTTAAAGCCATTCAAGATATTGAAAAAATTTGTTTGAGGAAAATTTGTTGTTTTTGTTTTTCACTTTTTTTTTTAATTCTCAATAACTAAAGTATAGTGTTTTAAATAATTTTTTTTTAGTAGAATAAATTTTTTTTTTTAATTTAATTCATTTCTCAAGATTCCAGAAAAGATTAATATACTCGAAGAGACTTTTTTTTGTTTGTTTAAGTTTAATTAAAACTTTCAACCCAAAAAACTGCAAAACAAAAACCTTGTTAAGTCGCCATGTTAAAAAAACAAAAACCTTGTTAAGACGCCATGTTAAAACAGTTTGAACACAGTAGTAAGTTGAAATGAAAGTATTGCACACTTGATTGTAAGCCAAAAGTTCTATTACGAGTCTAGTACCATATGCTAATATATTATTAGTTATTTATTATAGAAAATATATTATAAGTATTATATATTACAGATACATATAGAAAGACTTTGAATTATTATAATTTTTTTTCCCTATTAAATAGGAATTCAGCATTGTTTAACACAAATGAAATTTATTTAATTTAAAATTTCCCATATTTTAAAATCAATAAATATTTTAAATCAATGTTTAACTATTTTAAACAAATGTATAAATTTGTTTAATATACAGTAGATAAACTAAATACAATATTTATTGTAACAGTTAAAAAAAAGAAAACATTTTTGTTAAATATAATTACTTTTACTAATTACTACTTTTTTTGCAATTTGTTTAACTTGCCTCAGCAGTTTTTTCTTCGATAAAAAATGTAAAAATTATTTTGGTAATGTTTTATTATTTTATAGATACAGTTTCTAATTTAACTTTTTCAAGTCCACAAACTTCTGACTTGTTTCAGTCTCCTTCAATTAAAAAGTCAAACTTTGAAGTGTTTACTGAAGAAACTATCCATGAGTAACAATTATTTGATTTATTATATATCATTTGTTATATATAATTTATTAAATATTATTTATTTAACTATATATCATTGGCAGAATTATTGATAAGCTTTTGATTACTGATTTTTTTAGTATAAAAGCAGTTTTTTTCATTTATTTACTGGTATATTTATTTAAGTTGTAATTTAGTTAACTTGAAATAAAAATTAAAAAAACAAAATAATAATTCTTTTTAAAGGTCACATTTGCTGTATGTAAAAAAGCAAAGTACTTGTGCAGTGGAGGTAGATGCAATTGAATCAGCCATTTTAAATAAAAATAGTATCATGGGTAAGCTATGTTTTCAGATACTAATTTGAATAAATTTTTGTTGTACCTATCATAATGCTATTAATGTAGATTTATATTTTTGTATAGAAAATATTGGAACTAATCCTGGTTTAAATGAGTTATGGGAAGACGAAAAGCAACGACTAAGAGACAACCATGAAAATTCTATAATTAAGATTAGTGAATCTCAAGGTATTAAAAAAAGAATAGTTTTAAAAATTAAAATTTTTTTATTATTTAGTTTACCATATTTATGAATTAAAATAAAAAAATTAAAATTTCTACAACTTGTAACAACTTCTACTATTTTGTAAACTCAATAATTAAAAAATTTTAACTTTTAAAACTATTCTTTTTTTAAAAAGAATAAAATTATTTCTGTAATTGAGAAAAATTTTTTCCTTTTTTAAAAAGATAAAATTATTTCTATAATTTAAAAAAAAAAAACACAGTTCTCAAGAAACATTGATAAAATTCTTAAAGAAGAGGCTACTTAATAGTGGTTATAACCCTCTCTCAACTCTGTAAATCTGAAACACGAACCTTGACGAACAAGGCCGCTGCATGGAGAAACAAGTTGAGCGCGGTACTACCAGGGACATGGTGGGGATCGAACTCGGAACCTCTCGCTTATGAAGCAAGTGTTTTACCACTACACCACTACCACATTTGTTTCATTAAAAAAATATTGACTAGATTAGTTAAAATTTGGATTCTAAACTGTTATTTGTAAAAAATTTGGATAATATGTAGTCCTAATTTGCAAAAACTGAAACCTTTTCCATAACTGTCGCCTTGCCATATGTAATATAGTTACGTGCATTGATAGCATATTCTTATTTTAAATGTTATACCATTATGTTTACAGTATAAAATGATTTTTTCAGGCAAAACAATGTATAACTAAATTATGCAGTATTAAATAATTCTAAACTAAACTTTGTAAACAAAAAGTATCAAACTTATGATAAAAGCCCAGCCCAGATTGTACATACATTTTTTTATTGGCCATTGTTTAAAATATGAAGAGTTAAACAACTATACTATCTATTGTGTAGGGCAAATTGTCGACGAGACAAGTTGTCCATCATAATAGGAAATTTTTGAATAAATTGACCGTGTGAGTGTCAATTGCTTCTTGTGGTCGCATATTCCAGGACGGTGTGACACAATTAGTAAAAAAGATATGTCGCTCTTTGCAGTCGTTATAGAACCTTTGAGGAATAAAAAAATTAACATCATCAATTTTATTCACAATTTTAAACTGTTCAATAAGATCTCCTCTGGCTCTTCTCTTTTCCAGTGTTGTCAATCTGAATATTTTTAAACGTTACTCATATGGGAGATGTTTGGTAGAGGAAACTTTTGTTGCTCTGCGCTGAACTCTTTCAAGAATATTTATATCTTTTTTTAGGTGAGGAGACCATGCTTGAATATCAAATTCCAAGTGTGGGCGCACATTTGTGATGTAAAGTGTTCGCCGGAGACAAATGCTTCTGCTTCGGTGTGCTTCTTTGAGTAGGCCCAATTTGTAATTGGCAACTGAGACTTCAGACTCCACTTGGGCATGGACTTTGAGATCATTTAATATCAGAACACCTAGATCTTGTTCAGTTTCAGTTTCTTCCAAGTTTCAATGAGCGCCTTCTGTGTTTGTCATTGAGTAGACTTGATAAGATTTTCTGTTACCTCGCCTGACATGCATTGTTTTGCATTTTTCCACATTAAAGAACATCATATAATTTAGATTTTTTTTTAATGTTTGTAATACTAGGCTATGGTTTACATATTTTATGATAGCCGACTCAACAGAATTCTGTGCATTGCAAGGAGAAGGCCGATGCATCACACTACTGTTTATAAAAGATAATGCAACGTTTGTGAAATACAAGTTAAAAGTGTATGACAGTTAAACGTTATCTGATATAGTTTCCCTATGTTCAATCAATATTATACGCTTGTTTGAATTTCCTGATTTATTTGAGAGAAAAGATTTGCATATCTTCCACAAAGATATGCAGGAAGACTTGGATAAAGTTGCATCATCAAAATTCATTTTCTTTGCTTTTTTATTCAAGTTCACTACATAGTTCCTTTGTTTCCTGTAGAGAGACAAAGAAATATCTGATTTTTCAATGTGAAGTTTTTTTTTTAATTTTGAGCTAAGCATAATCCCTCTTCTAAAATCCTTATCAAAAATGGTTTATCGTTAGCTCTTAAAGTTTAAGTTTTTTTGGGACATATAGATTTAAAGATTTGCAAAAGATGTTTAATTCTCTTATGTCATTACAAAATCTCAACTTTTACTTTTTTTATTTTTATTTTTTTTCAGAAAAAACATCACAACAAAATTCTCAAGATACCTGTAAATTATTTTTTTTGATGATAACTTGCAGAAGGTAGACCTGAGCATTGCAAAAATAAGCTCATGATGATTAATAATACTTGTACAGATATTCTTAGAATGTTGTAAATAGATAATAGTAAATAGACAAGTTTTAACACAGTTTAGTTTATTTTACTATAAAAAGATAAATGCAATTTCAATCATTATTAGTCATGCTTGTAGCATCAACTAGTTATGTTTATAACATTAAGTTGCTATGATTGTTGCATCAATACTCTTCTCATAAACTACTCATTTGACTTAAGTAAGTTTTTTTTAGAGCTTTTGTCTTTGAGTAAAATATAATGCAAAATTGTAAATGGTATTACTGCATATCCATGTCTGTGACAAAATCTATTCACAACATCAAAGAATAAATAGTGAGATGTATTCACAACATCAAAGAATGAATGAAAGAATGAATGAAAGAATGAATAGCTTCTTAGAATAATATATTCACAACTCATAACAGTTGCCTTATTGCGCTCTTTAAGTTGGTGAATAATTTAATCTACAGAGATAAAAATAAATCTTTAACTTTTACATTCCTTCTCCAGAAATCTCTTAGTTGTCCCTTTTTAGCTAGCACAAAATATAGATTAGAATGATAAAGATTTTGCAAGATAAAATTAGAATCAACTTCTTTCCTTTTTTATTATAATTGAAATATAAATATAATTAAACTCTCCCTGGTCTTTGCTTGGGCTATCATCGGTGCCATGACCTACCCATATGCAAATGGCATTTGTAAAGCCAAATGTTGCTCATCATTTAATGCATGGTCCATGCATGGCAGCTATTTTTTGACCTCATTTTGTTTCTTTTTTACATTATTATTATTTAGAATGACCAATACTGAAGCGAATGCGAGTATTTAACTTAAATTAAGACTTAATAAATGTTTCTTATAACATATTAAATGAAAAAAAAAACTGTTTAATGTTAATGTGAAACAAAGATCACATGTTTTGATGTCTTGACATTCAGACAAAGGCGTTCGATAACCAAAGACTTTAAATTTTTTTTACAAGATCATTGTTATGATCATTCCTCTGACCATCAGGTTAACACTACAGTTCACCACTTGCAGCATCAGGTTCATCACTTGCAGCATCACTTGCAGCATCACTTGCAGCATCAGTTCACCACTTGCATCATCAGGTTCATCACTTGCAGCATCACTTGCAGCATCACTTGCAGCATCAGTTCACCACTTGCAGCATCAGGTTCATCACTTGCAGCATCACTTGCAGCATCACTTGCAGCATCAGTTCACCACTTGCAGCATCTGACCATCAGGTTATACAGTTCACCACTTGCAGCATCAGGTTCATCACTTGCAGCATCACTTGCAGCATCACTTGCAGCATCAGTTCACCACTTGCAGCATCTGACCATCAGGTTATACAGTTCACCACTTGCAGCAGCACCTGCAAATTCCAAGTCATAATATATTGGGTATAGGGATCAATTATTTTGTGATGTGTATTGTTCTACCTATAAAATTTTATTTGTAGAAATATGAACATCAGGCTATTATTATATTTTAAATTCTTTACTACAATTCCACTAGACAAAGACAAATACTAACTTGAATATTTACTTCCAAACAATAAATATTTCTAAAAGATAAATGCTAAATTTTAAATAATAAATAACTTCTTTTAAACAAATTTACAGTAAAGCAAACTGTTTCCTCCTCTAGTATAGCATTATTTTTCTTATCACTACCATTATTATTGTCATCAACATGAAGTCTTTTTGATGCCATGCTATTGGTTCTTATAAAAGGTAAAACGTTTTTAATGCACATCAAAATCACTTTTTTTAATAAAAATTAAAGGTTCTCCATTTTTTTAAAAAAAAAACTTCTTTGAATCTCTTGAATCACATTGAACTTTTTTCAGATAAAAGGCTTGAAAGAAATATGCCATTTTTTGAAAACATTTTAAAAACAAAAAACAACAAAATAGTTCTTTTTTTCATGTTTCAAGGAATTAAGTAAAGTTTTTCTTATTTGAAGAAAGTTATAGTTTATTATAGAAAATTCTATAGTTGCTTATAGAAAAACCAATTTCTTAAAATAAGTTAATTCTTTCATTTAATTATGAAAGAATTTTTTTTTTCGCTGTATATAATGTAAATAACATTTGCGCTTGATACAAACAAATAATGAGAAAATTTTTTACAGTTTTATAAGAAATATCTAAATATCTAACACATGACAAAAATATGAAAAGAAACTCTTATGTAAAAGGCAATAATCACTTTTTGGCAAATGTTTATATGTTACATAACTTATTGGCTATTGATAATCAATTACTTTTTAGATAGAGAAGAATTTATAACCAACGATGAAAAGCTGAGTCTTAAAAAACTAAAAGGCATCATTGATGAAAGAAGATTAAAGTTGTAAGTCATTTATTTACAATAATCTCTAAAATATTTAACAAGTGTGTTACTAAATCTTGTTTTTGTGCCTGCTGAAAAATGGCATCTGTGGTTCCAGTTTTCAAAAACTCTGGTCTAACTATTGTCCAGTCTTACTATTGTAAACAAGATTTTTGAGTCTTTAATTAACAAACTTTATATATCTTTTTTTTATGTTTCCCTCCCCAAGGCCAAAAAGACCACTACAATCAAGGAGGCTACTTTATTGTGGTTACAACCTTTTTTTAACTCTGAAGCACAAACCTTGACAAAAAAGTCTGCTGCAGAGAGAAACAAGTTAAGCAAGGTACTACCAGGGGCCTTGTGACAATCAACCTCAGCTTCTTGCTTAGATAAATATTAAACATTCCATTATTCTAACATTCTATCTACATTAAGTCATTAAATCTAATAATTTATTCTACTACATTAAGTTATTAGATCAACTAACAATTAACTCTCTAATTTGCTAATTGTAATAACAGAATTCTATTGTACAATAGGTGGTTAAGGTGAGGCAAGAACTACTTAACTGATGACATTATAATTTTTAGTCTTGACAAAATGTAATTACATGATCAGCTTAAAGCTGATCATGTAATTTCCCATCTGAATAAAAAATATTTTTAGTTGTAACTCAAGACCATTGAACATTTAATGGGCCCCTAATATTATTAAAAAAAAAGAAATTTTTTTAAAAGTATGTTTTGTTGGGTCTGAAAAGAAGCAAAATTATATAAAAACTTTAAAAATGATAATTATTTAAAAAAAAAACATTTTATAACTAGTATATATATATATATATATATATATATATATATATATATATATATATATATATATATATATATATATATATATATATATATATATATATATATATATATATATATATATACATATATATATATATATATATATATATATATATATATATATATGTATATATATACATATATATATATATATATATATATATATATATATATATATATATATATATATATATATATATATATATACATATATATATATATATATATATATATATATATATATATATATATATATATATATATATATATATATGTATATATATATATATATATATATATATATATATATATATATATAATATACATATATATATATATATATATATATATATATATATATATATATATATATATATATATATATATATATATATATATATATATAATTGTTTTTTTTTGACAAGGTTAAATAAAAAATAACTACATTATGTATCTTACACATTTCTACATTCTATATAAAGCTTTTTCACATAGAAAATCCAGAAATATCTAGAAATTCCAAGTTACTAGCTAACTCATAGTAATTTTGCACCAATCAAGTAATTTTAGTTACAGCATTATTAAAAATAGGTGAACAAAGAAGATTTTAAAATGCCAAATCAAGCTAGGTCTCATGATGATAACAAGAATATTGCCAAATATTCCTTTTTGACTGATTTTCCTCAAAGCATTTTTGAGGCCTGTCTATTGATCGTTTGCAAAAAACACAAGGAAAGAAGTGTTGATTTGTTTTTCTTTTCCTTCTAGAAGTGAAGATCTATTAAATTTATCAACAACTTCAGATCAAGGTTCTTGTTTTAACAGTTTATTAGCTACAACTTTAGAACAAGATTCATTAGGTTAGTTTGTATTTTTATTATACTATAAATATAAATTCATTGTTATAATTATCTGTTAGATGGCACTATAGGGTACCACATATTATATGTCATAAAAGTAAATAAACTATATACATTATATATGTGTATATATATATATATATATATATATATATATATATATATATATATATATATATATATATATATATATATATATATATATATATATATATATATATATATATATATATATATACATACAGTTGCGAAAAATAAAATAGCACCACTAAGGGTATTTTCCTTTTTGTTAAGAAAACACCATGCAAAATAAATTTTTTTTATAGCTTTGCTGTTTAAAATATTAACATGTTTATTTTCTAAAACAAATCATTTTGGGAAAAAACTGCTTGGTGTTGCTCGATTTTAATAAAAATTCTGATCGAAAAATAAAATAGCACCACAAACTCTTTTGTTGTAAAATACTCTGATAACGGTAAAAATAATTGTGAAAATAGCAAGCGTTGGTTTTTTTGTTTTTGCTGTTTTACTCGATTTATGTTAGTGAGTATTAGTAGGAGACATTTACATATAAAAATGGAAAAGCAGAAAGCATGGCAGTGCCCAAAAAAGAGAACTGATCCAAAAATTGATATCAGCAGGGAAATCTTATAGAGAAGTTGGTCATTTAGTTGAGTATTTCAATAAAATGATAAGAAATGCCATAAAATTTCAAGAAAAGCCTGAAATGCGTGGTCGAAAACGTTTTATTTCAACATTGTTGGCCAATCGCTTAGTCTGACAGGCTAAAAACAAACCTTTTAAAACAGCCACCGAGCTGAAAAAGGACTTTAACATCGATGCAACAGTACAAGCAGTTCGGAGTTGTCTGCAAGTTAGCCTGTAGCACCAGAAAAGTTCCACTTCTATGTGCCAGACATGTTGTAAAGCAGTTGCCAGATCTTAAACCAATCAAGAATTTGAGGGCTGACGTAAAGGAGGTGGTTGCTGCTTCCAAACCCACCACAAAGGAGTCACTTAAAAACGTAGTTGAAGAGACATGGAGCGAAATTCCGCTAAAACGATGTCAGGACTTGGTTAACTCGATGCCAAGACTATGTGTAGCCGTTATTGCCAATAAAGGTCACGCTACAAAATACTAATATGTTAAGAAATAAACTAATATTTATTGTAAAATGTTTAAAACGATTGATCTCATAATATTTCCTTATTTTAAAGTACACATTAAAGCTGTGGTGCTATTTTTTTTTTTGCGTTTTATTTGATTTTTTTTGAATTTTTGTTTAATAAATGAATAATATATATTAAAACTTGTATATTTTGTTTTTTATAAAAATTATAAGCCATTTTACTTTTAAATATGTATTTAAAAGATTTTCAAACCATCAAAAATAGTAAAATTTTTAATTTTAACCAATTTTTGATGATAGTGCTATTTTATTTTTCGCAGCTGTATATAGTGCAAGAGCGGTGAAAAGCTCTCCTAAAACAAACATGGCGAGCTATGCGAGCTGCTTCTCTAAATTCTTTAGACAACTGTTGTTTTTAATGCTTATAAAAAAAGTTTTATATTTTCTTATTGTAATAGAATGCAGGGATTTTAGGAATTGTTAAAGATAATTTTTAAAATGACTGCGTTTTTTTATTTTAGTTACAATGATAATTAAACTTTTGCGAGAAAAAATTATTATTTTGCGAGAGCCGTAAATTGCTCCTGTAAACCGTTTTAGGGGAGTGTGGGCAAGAGCAAGAGCTAAAGCTCTCGCTACCTGCCGAGGTATATATATATATATATATATATATATATATATATATATATATATATATATATATATATATATATATATATATATATGTATTCCTTGAATATATATTTATACAAGGAAGTGCTGTATTTCTAAACTAAAACTTAATGTACTGCCGCATTATTTAAATTATTTTAACTATTAGATGACATCAACATTAAACTTAACTTAACTTAGCTTAACTGTTGAAGTCACTTGAATGTTGTTGAAAAAGACTTTTTACCATAAAAATCTCTTTCAACTACGGTATAAGGAAATATATATATTTTTATAAATAATTATGTCTTTGTATTCACTAAATAAAGGAAAATATTTAAAAAAAATCTTAATAATAGTTCAAAATAATTATAATAATAGTTAGAGCTTCAGGTCACATTTATGGTTTAGTGACTTTGCCAAATTTCTTGAGCACAGGAATACTTACTGCATTACTAAAATAATAATAAAAAATAATTAACCCATGGTCCATAATTTATTGTATTATATGAAAAAAATAAAAAATGTTTATTGATTTTTGTTTCCATCGTTTTTCGATGACTTAGTTCCATCGATTAACAAAGATTTCTGTGGTGGGGGGTGGGGGGACTTTGTCCTGTGGCCAGAGATTATTGTCAGACCTGCAGCAAAAATTGCTTTTGTTCTTTGTTTTTAGTCATTGAGCAGTTAAAATCCTGAATTAATTTTACTTTTATGCCTTTCAACGTAAAATTTCTAGTTAAGCAAAGTTTTTTTGTCAAATGGACCCTAAAAAACTATACAAGTTAGCGAATGGTTCGACTTAACCAGGGTATGATAATATGATAAAGTTCAACTGGAATTTTATAAAAAAAACACTGGATTTAGCTTTTAAATGGAAGAAATAAATCATTTTTAATATTATCGCATAAAATAAATTTGAAGTACATCATGCATAAATTATGCGTGATGTACTTTATTACAAATATAATTTCTTTATTTAACATTATGCAAACTTTACTGTTTAAACATATTTTGACTTCAGCAAAAAAAAATTTTAATAAAAATATTTTCTATAAAATCAACTTTTTTCTAAATAAATAATTTTCTTCCTCGCAGGTTGTTCAGGTGAGCACAATTATTTATTCTTATAATGAAACTAGCTAGCACTATTAGTCGCACCCGGAAGGTCATTTACGGGTGTGTTTCACATGCGAGGAACAATCGCTCCTGCTTCATCACAAGGCCTGGAAACATATTTTATCATGAAATTTTTTTTCAATAGATAAAAGATTTTGTTTTTTATAATAATATGTAAAAAAAAAAAAAAAAAAAAAAGAGTTTTTATATAATATTTATTTCATAAAATTAATTTCATTTATAATCAATGAGAAAACAATGTGTGCATTCATATAAAACTTTTAATAAACTTGGAAATTTTGCTTTATCAACATTTTTGCATTTCGATTGTTCAAAATATGATTTTAATACGTTTTTCTGGGTAAATTTATATTGACAAAAATTCCAATTTCTAGTGGCTGCAAAATATGGCTTGAATGAGCTGGTAGGCAGACCAATTGAATGTTATTTTCATTACAAATTTTAATAACTTATGACATGAGTGTTGTGACCACTTAATAAAAAAAAGTATTTCTCCACCAATCGCCTAAACTGCTGGTATGAATAGTCGTTCCAACCGCTCAATAAATTGACATTTTTCGATCCATACTGAATCTGATCTTGTATACACTGTGCCAATTGGACTATTTTTACAACATGTAGATATAATATAAATATAAATATACATTACAAATACAAGCATCTTTTTGATTTATATATGATGAAAGGAGGTAAGTAGAAGCCTGATGCATTGACACAGTTGTTTAGGGTATAATTTATTTTTTCATTGTTTCCTGTAATTTTAAATTTTTTAATAATTTTTGTACCTTTTCCATATAAAATTAAAAATTTTTTTTGGTTACTAAAACCAAAAAAAAATTTCAAACACTATTAAAACCACCTTCGTTATAGTGAAGTTTTTCTGTTATTAATTTTCATCGTGTTGTTTCTTGTAGTTGTTAAAATATTTTTCCCTCATATTAAAAGTACAAGATTACGCTCTGCTTAATACATTGTTTTCTGCTCTGCATAGTGCTACATCATGCCTCCACCTCTCATTAAAATCATTATACCACTATAATGAACTATTTTCAAATAAATGCTCTTGTTTGTATTTTTCAAATAGTGTTGAATAATAGAAATTATATCGGCTTGTGTCAAATCATAACTCCAATTGCTAAAACATTGAATTTAAATAAATCAATATCTTTTCAGTCTCAACTGATAAAGCTGTTGGCCTTTTGCTTCCATGTTGATCTGTGTTTTTACTTTTATTTCTGTCAATCAATGTCAATATTTGTACATTGAACTAAAATTCACATTTTATAAAATTCCTCAATTATGTTTTAAAGTATTTTCAACATCTTCTTTACAAGTAATTAGTAAACACTTAATGATTACTTATTGCCACAAATAATTGAATATTATTTATTAATTGTTGACTGACTTTAGAAGAGTATTACCTTTTTTAGTTTTTATTAAATAACTTCCTTATTTTATGACATAGTAAAATAAAAATACTAGATTAAATTCTGAATAAAAAACTCTTTTGAAGCGAATTTTTAAAAATTTTAAAACTTGTTTATTATTCAAAATTTAGCAAGTTTTAAATAAGTAAATATGGTTTTTTCGAATTGATTCACCAAAAAACCTTTCCGCTATTCCAAAAATGTCATCCAAGTAATTTTTTACATGTTCTAATAGATGTAGCCCTACTCTGTTAATTTTTGTTATGCTTTTAAATGTTATATATAGGGTTGATAATGTTATGTATAGGGTTGACATATTGAAATTCAGTAATAAGTCTGTAGGATCTTCAGAAATTAGCTTTTAAACAAATTTGTAAAAGTTTTAAAACTTGTTTATTATTTAAAATTTAGCAAGCTTTATATTAGTAAATATGGTTTTTCAAATTGATGCACTAAAAAACCCTTTTACCCTCACAAAAACGTCATTTGTAGTACATTTTTAGTATTGTTGCTCTAAAAAAATTTTATTAAAAAAGAACAAAACTCTCTAGTTAATTTGCCTCCTTAAGTATGGTTATTTATTTTTTGACTTATACCTATGTCTTTGTTTCCAAAGATCATAAACTAACTAGTTTTTATGTCTTTCAGTAATTTAATATCAACAAAATACTTTATTTTTTGGATTGATAAATTTATTAAAAAATCTTTAAGAATATTAGTATTCTTTAAGATTTTTTAAATAAATTTGTCAATCCAAAAAATCTTCTTAATACCCTTTATAATTCTTTCTTGGATATTTTTGCTGAGCCCTTACTCTTCTTTAATCTCTCTCAACTATTAATTAGACAAGTGATGTTTTTCTTACAAAAGTTATATGATAAAAACTATAAACTAATTGAAATAAAATAGTAATAATGGCATCTTCACAACAATACACACTAACATTTAATCCAGCAAGAAAGCTCAAAAATTTATAAAAATTTTTTAGTGCAGAAATTATAATTCCCACCATATAGATTTGTTAGTAATCAAAGCCATCTTTGTAGTCTCTATTTAACCAAGATTTTTTAACTGCAAAAAAAAAAAAATGCAATTGTTAGGGTAATTTTTAAGACCAGAGTATTTTGCAATTTTATTGTGTACAAGAGTACATTAGTAGAAACAATTTTTTTGGATGAATCTGTAGATTTTTTAAAGTAAAAGTTAAAAATTAGTAATTTGTTAGTAATTTGGCCATTTACAGTACTAACAATATAAATCTATTAGAAGGCTTTTATTAGTAACACTAATGAAGTTTTAGTTTTTAATGAAATTTTTAAATGAAGTTTTGAGCTTCATTTAAAAATTTAATAATTTAATAATATAACTACTTGGAAAGTAGTTATTTTTAACAGATTGTTAAAGTAGTTATTATTTTAGCATACACATGCCGATATATATATATATCATTTGATAGAATAAAAAAAGTTATAGAATTAGTTTTAAGGCTAGGCACTTGAAGTAAGAATTGAATACTCCAGTACATTAGAGTCAAGTATTACTAGAAACCAGCGTAAAATTTTTTATCCCTTAACCATATTTGGACCTAAGTAAAGTCATTAAAAAAAAAAATTGTATTTTTGTTTGTATGTTGAAATAATTTTTTAAATGATCAAATTTTTTAATGCAAATTTTATTTTAGTAATTTCTAATTTTCAGCACTTGACTCTACTGCTGACCAAAGTTTGGTTAATATACTTTTAAATATGGCAGAAGAAGAAGAGCTCCATAACAGCTTAGAACCCCTTTCTGCTCTATCTGAAACAAGTTTAATAAATAATGGTATGTGTATGTTTTACTGTTTTTTACTTTTGCTAAATATATACTAATCATATAACATTTGTTTTAATATTTTGAAACAAAAGATTGTTAATTAAAGCTAATTAAAGCAAAACTCTAGCCAGAAATTATGTTTTTAAAAACAAATAGAGCAAAGGTAAATAATTGTTCAATGTTATTTGACTAATCATCTATTATTAATTATTGTTTTAAAAGTGTGTAATTTGACATCAGTTGTTTCAAAAGATAAAGCACTAAATAACTTATAATAGTAAATGCAGTTTTAAAATGCAGAAAAAATTTGAAAAAGAAAATTATTTTTATTAGTATCTTCTGTTTAATAAAAACATTACTTTCAAGTATGAATGTTGAAAAAAAGTGGCAGTCAGTTTAGTAAAACTTCAGTAAGCCAACAAGTAAAAAACAACTTAATTTGTTTATATACTAATGATATGTAATAATAATATGGAAGAATTTAAATCTTTATTTTCATTTATATAATCTAACTTTGAACCAAGGTTTGGTGATGACATCACCAAAACTTGGTTCAAAGAGCATTCAAATGCAGAAGTAGAAGGATTTCATTTATGCTGGTTGTAGTTGTGATTTATTTGGTTTTAAGGCAAAATAATTTCAAAAATATAGATGGCTTGAGAAATGTTTTACAGTTGCAAGTTCATTTTTTAATAAAAAAATTATGATGATTTGTTTATTACGAGAGACTTTTTTTAATTTTTAGAATATGCAAGGGTCTGATTGGTCATGAAAACTAATGATATAAGTAAAGAATCAATAACATGAATTTTAAAATAAATTAAAAAATATTTCCATGTCTACTCTGACTCGTGTCTACTCTGACCTTTCAATTAACTGAAGAAGTAGTTGTTAATATTTTAGATTAATTTTTTACAATAAATAATAAATTTGAAATTAGTTATTTATGAATCCTTTCAATTAAATGAAAATATATTTTTCATTATAGTGTATGAGATAATTCAATATTAACTATAATAAATAAAAGTTGAAGTTATTGCTTTGAAAGTTCCTTCATTCATAAAAATATACTTTTGATCTATTTTTTTGAAGCATGCAATATATTTATTCCTTAGGTTGAATTAAAGGTTGATTTATATTGAAGAAAGAGAAAAATAGAATTACAGAATGAACTATATCAAAGGTATCAAACGATATCAAAGAACTAGAAAAAGTAATAATAAGGATAAATTGTGTTTCAAATGAATTTTTTTTTTTTATAAATGAGTGACAAAAATGTTTAAGTTGTGTAGAAGAAACTTTGTAAACAAGTAAATTATTAAGTTTTTAAGAAAGCAAAACAAAATAAATTTATGAGTTAAAGTAAACAACTTCTTTTTATTAAAAATCAAAAAGTTGAATTCTATGAAGGTTGTTAAGGAAAACAATTTTGCATATCTGATGGTCCAATAATTATTGTTGATAGACTGAGCAACTAATTTTAAATTAAAATTAATAATTTTCAGAATCTTTGTAAATTATAGACAAATTTCTTTGATCTCCATTTTATGTAATTTTTTAGAAATTTTTGATTATTTGATCCCGCTTAATGTACATATGTTTATATTATTGAAGTTGTGCCCAACAAATCACTTTAAAATTTTGACTTTACTTCACACCTTTTAGCCAGTAAAAGAACAGTTGATGTCATTCACCCTAATATTACTAACCCTTTTAATAAAGTCTCTTGAATGTTTTTACAACTTAAAGCTTGAAGGATAAGGTGTAAATAAAAATTGGAAATTAAAAGCGGAGTACCACACAACTTGTTACTATGGTTGCTTTTATTATAAGTGTACATTAAGGATATTTGATTATAACAAAAATTTATGGCAATGATTCAAAGATATTATCCTTAGTAGAAATTACAAATATAAAAGAAAAGGTTCAGACTGACTGAAAGATTTAGATCTTGGGACTGACTTGGATAAAGCTGTCATTTCCTCAGGAAATTATAAATTTTTGTTTAATTGAAAAATGTCTAGTAATGCATTACATTCTAAATGATCAGATGAAAGAGAACTTGAGGACGCTGTATAAAAATTATTTAGGTGTAAAATTTTTGAATGTTCAAAAGTTAAAGCAATAAATCGTGACATCTTGAATTAGGTATTTTTTAATTTATACATTTGTTGTTCACACGACTATTAGTGTAAATAATACTTATATTTAAATAATAATATTGTAATTTAAACGTCTCTAAGTATTATAAACTAAGCTAATGAGGCAATTAGTTTTGTAAATAGATTATAAAAGTTTAAAAATACTTATAATATCTCTGTGGGGAAATGTTATATGGTATATATAATCATGTAAATTTTATATAAATGTAGTGTTTTAATTAAATTTAAATATATAATGTTAAAAGATTCACCAATTATTATAATTGAGTTTTAATATGCCCTCACTTTCTCACGAACATTTGGTAGCAGAGGGTTTTTTCAAGCAATTGAATACGAAGATGAACAGTAGAGAAAGTGTGTTAGATGACATTCATCATAATCAGATGGATCAACATAAACGAGCTTAAGAAAAGTCAAAAGTGGCATTTGCAAGAACGAGAAGAATGCTGATGGAATTACTTAATTCCAACTTTCCGAGCAGAAAAAATGTTCGCAAATGTTGGGAGAAGATTGAGGAAGCACATTTGGCTGCAGCGAAGGTAATGGATGAACTTTCAATTGAGTATCAGAAAAAGAAAGAATTTAAAATGGTGACAAAAATCACAAAAGAAATAAAAGCAATTACATGCTTTTTGTCTGCCTACATGGAAGCAGACAAAATGACACATGAATATCTTCACTTGCGAAAAGATGATATCAAGCATTGTCACAATAGGAGATTGCGGTGAACGTAATGGAACTTGAACTGATCTATCAAAAAATTAAATTAAAAAGTGGCATTGAACAAGGTGATGGTTGTTATGAACAACATGGTATGAAAAAAGTGATTATTGGATTAATGGATAATGGATTAATGGGTGATGGATTATATAGAAAGTTTATGGAGTAAAATCAGCTAATGGAATTAAATGAGTTAAAAAATGACTAACTGGATGCTTAAGTTAAATGGCATGTAAAGAAGAGCTATCAAGTATGCCCTGTTGGAACTGGTTGGCAAGGAGAACCAGCAAAATAAACAAAGTACAATGAAAAAGGTAATAAACTTCAACTGGCGAATGTCTTGAGTACAAAAAAAGAAATTGGACGATATTTATGGATAGTAAGTGACCAGGGTTGATATTTGACTGGGGCTGAGGCCATGTTTGGTAAAATATAGCTGGGGCAGGGGTTGGGTTTGTGACTGAGGCTGCATAACCATTTACACATCCTAAAGTATATTTTTTTTATTCAAAATTCACGTTATATTTTGTATATACATGCATATATAAACATTATGATCAACATGATCATCATAATCATCATCACCATCATCATCATCATCATCATCATCTGCAAAGTCTGTTATGAAAGTGCAACAAATGCAACAGTCTGTTATGAAATTCATAACAAACTGTTGCATTTGAAGAGACGATCAAAAGAAAAAAAGGAAGAAGAAACAACTCAAGTTAAATGTAGCTATAAGAATTTTGTCTTTCTTTTTAACCAATTGACAGCAATCGACACAAGTTAACGCTCTAATGGATGATTCCAGTACCCAAGCATATATAAACAGTGATGTAGCTGCAGAACTTGGATTAAAAGGAGTGATGAAAGAAATTAAGGTACTTAAGAAAGAATGAATGAATAAGAAAGAATGTACTCAATGGTAGAGTAGACACCTTTCAAACAATGCCTGTTGAAATCCAGTTGGAAAGTATTGATGGTAAATTGAAAAAGAAGATAAATGCCTTAACAGTTGATAGTTTTGAGTAACATGCAAGTAGTGGACTGGAATAAATTAAAAAAATATTGAAGTTACCTAAGAACCATACCATTTTGCAGATTGGGACAGCAACCAATTGTATTCTTATTGGATTAGGTGGCGCAAAACTTCATTTGTCCAAAACAGAAGTTAAAGGATGCATTGGGATGGACACTTGGGCACAAAATTATTGCCACACCAGAACATTTAACACAAGCATTTCTGAAGTTGATAAAATTAATGAAATACTAAAAACATTTTGGGAAATCTAAAATGTTTATCTGTCATCGAATACGCAAGCTAGAAGTGTTGAAGATAAAATGACCCTAAATCAAGCGCAAATTTCAATAAATTATGTGGATGGGCGATATCAAATTAAAGTTCCTTTGAAAGAGGATCCAAAATTGTTACCAAACAACTATGAAATGGTAGTAAATTGATTTATAAGTATGGAAAAGCGACTTTTTGCTGAAATTTACAAAAAAATAGTACGTAACTACGTAAAAAAACAGTACGTAACTAAGGTTATATAAAAGTAAGATTATTTAAAAAGGTTATATAAAAGTAATCACAAATAAATACAAAAATCAATGGATTCTTTTACACTTCAATGTTGTAAAATTTGTAAAGGAGAGCACAAAAGTCAGAATTGTTTTTGCTGCAACATCCCATGGCGTTTTGCTGAAGATGTTATGTATCGAGCTCTCTGTGTTGTGCTGTTGCGTTCCAATTAAATGCAGTTGCTTTGCTAAGTAATATTGCAGAAATGTACTTGCAAATTGAGCTAAATCAAAAAGATCGAAGATATCACAGATTTTTTTGGCAGGATCTAAAAAATAAAAATAAACAGCCTGAGTTATTTGAATTTACGAGAGTTGTATCTTGCATCATTTCCAGTCCTTTTCTAGCACAGTTTGTTATACAAAAACATGCTGAGAAATAAAAAAAGCAATTTCAACTTTCTGCAAGTCTACATATATGGATGACAGTATGGATTCAGTTGAAACTGCAGAAAAAGCAGTTGAACTGTATAATCAATTTAAACAATAAAAGGAATGACTGCAAGAAAGTGGATTTCCATATCGATGAAGCTAATGAAATAATTCCTTAAGAGCAGAAAAAATAAATATAAACATTACCTACAGTCAAAACATTGGGCGTATCTTTGAAAGCAGCTGAAGATATTTTTACATTTAATTACATTCTACCACCCAAACCAGTAATAAGTAAAGAACTGCTGTTAAAATACATATCAAAACTCTTCGATCCACCTGGGTTTTTATCTCCTTTTGTTATATAAGCAAAAAAAATATTTCAAGGACTATTGACTTCAGGAAAAGATTGTGATGAAATACTACCAGAAAAAATAAAGCAAAAGTGGAATATCTGGTTTAGCAATCTAAAAAACAAACAACAATGCAAAATACCTCTTTGTTTACATTTTAAAAACCCTAATAAAATTATTTATTTAATCTATCACTTGTTTGTTGACACTTCTCGAAAGGCTATTGGAACAGTTTTTTACTTACTTAATTGTTATGAAATTAGTAGAATGTTAAGTTCATTTGTTTTGTTGAAAACTTGTGTTGTCTCCAAAATTAGAGTTAATGAGTGCGGTGTTAGGATTGAAACTTGCGTTTTTTGTCATAAAAGTTTTGCCTTGCACAATAAAAATGGAGTATGTTATATTTTGGACTGACAGTGTAAATATATTATCCTATATTATAGATTAAAAGCCCAAGTAGAAGATTCAAAATTTTTGTTGCAAAGTCATTCAAATCTGAGACAAGAGCATTATGTACCAGCATAAAAAATCCTGCAGATTTGTCATCTAGAGGAGTAAAAATAAGCGATTTACAAAACAGTAACTTGTGGTGGAGTGGACCTGATTTCATGCAATAAAAGGAATTCCAATGGCCAACCAATGAATTTAAAGAGATTGAAAATAAAATAATAATAGAAGTAATAGGTACTTATACTTTGATGGCTATTAAATCCAAAGTTAATACCGATGAATGGCGTTTAAACCAACCTGCTACTCCATTTAGAACCAAACCGCTACTAATAACTAACCGCTAAGTTGGAGACAGTTAACACGAATCCTAGCCTGGGTATGAAGGTTCCTAAACAACTGTAATGAAAAATGTTCATCTTCAGGAACACTCTCAACAGAGGAAACTAATAATGCGGTGATAGAATTAATTATAAATGCTCAAAAGAAATCATATGGGCAAGAGTACAATCGACTAAAAAGTAACAAAGGAATATCTAAGACTAGTTGTTTATTAAAATTATCGCCTAAAATAGATAAAAATAATTTGTTAAGATGCGACAGTCGATTAAAAAGTGCTGAATATCTCTAAATAAACACATAATTAAGTTGATTGTAAAAGATTGCCACGAAGCAGGACAGCAAATATATGATGTCAATTATATTCTGGTAGAGTTGTCTACCAAGTTATAAGTAGTTTCTGGAAGAGAAGAGATAAAACAATGGGAAGCAGAGTTATGACACCATTACCAACAAAAAGTTTGCAGATGACAAAGAGTTACAAAAGTTCATGAATTGTGAAAGGGAAAAAATAAATGAGGCAACAAGTCATGTTGGTATTAAATGGTATTTTAACCCACCAGTAGTCCCTCATTTTAGAGGAGTTCGCGAAATCTTGATAAAAGTAGAAAAACAAGCATTTAATTCCCAACTGGGAAACAGGGATATCACTGACTAAGAATTTATCGCAGCGTTTACCAGAGTAGAAAGACTTATAAATTCAAGACTTACCAATCGAATGATCCCAAAGATTGCACACCTCTTACACCTAATCATTTTTTATTTGGACAATTAGGTGATGAGTTTGCTGCAGGCGCAGTGGATACCACTTCATTTTATCCAAGAAAGTGATGTCGGTTTCGATAATTAATAAAGCATTTTTGGTATCGTTGGGTGAGAGAATGGTAACATGCTTGGATCACAAAAAAAATGGCATAGCATAATGTGTAAATTATCAATAGGCAATCTAGTATTAGTTATATTCGAAAGTACTTCAAGAGGCAATTGTCCACTTGGTCGAGAAATAGAGGTTTTTCCTGAAAACGATGGGTTAGTATGTGCTGCTAATCTTCAAGTGCTGTTAATCTTCTAGAGGTTACCTAAGCTAATGAGGCAATTAGTCAGTTTTGTAAATAGATAAATAAAAAAAGTTTACGAATACCTATATTATCTATCTGAGTAAATATTAAATGGCATATATAATTATGTAAAATTTATATAAAAGTAATTTTTTAGTATAATATTGATTAGTGTTAAATGAAAATATATAATCCTAAAATCATGTATTATTGAGTTTTAATACTTTAATTTTTTTTTTACTTTTTAATCATTAACTAGAAAAACAGCCTGATAAAACCATGGTACTATTATATACTTGTTATTAACTTATTATCTACTGCATCCTTGAAACTATTCTTTACTAAAATAAAACAAAAAGTAAAAATATATTTAAAACTCATTATTTAGGTTTTATTATTTTTATTATAGCTAGATTGTTATTGATCTTAAGATACTAGTCTATTTATCTGTTAACTATATGTTAATATAACTAATCCAACTTAACATGATATATAACAATCTATTAACTGTTAAATCTACGAACAACTACAACCATAATAACTATATAACAAATAACATAAATTTAAACTTTATTTAAATAAAAAAGACTCATGCTATTGTTTAACTTGTTATTATAAATTATCCAAAAAACGTAACTTGAATGTAACTTTTAAATTTTACTATTTAATATTAGTTTGTATATCATGAACATGTATGGTGTACATCATTTGTATATCATGATAGTTTTGTATATGAACATTCAGTTTCTAAGTTTAGATTCTTGTTGCTGATAATCTTATCATCTTTATAGTTGCTTGATATTTCAGTTTATATCCTTGTTTTTTTTTGTATGAAAACATTTTATATTTAAAATTTTATTTAAAGATAGTTTACATTTACTTCAGGCTTAGGTCACGAAGAAGATGATGAACATGATGATGATGAAAATGAAAGCATTTTGATGTCGCAAACAGTTAATGACATCATAAATTATCCTGATAATTCGTAAGTATTTTTGTGTGTTGATATCATAAACTATAAGTTTTTAAATTTTTTATTTTATATTTGGTTTTCTTTACTCTGTTTTATGTTTGTTTGTTTAAACTTTAGAGTTCCTTTAAGAACTTAGGGTTCTCTTCAAACCAGTTTAAAATTTATTAAAAACTTAATATGGGTTAGTTTAGAAAACTAATGAAGTATCAGGATTTTTTTCGCACACTCCTAGAGTTTTTTAGATGATTTTTTTAAATTGCTTTATTATTGTTTAACGATGGTAATAAATTTTTTATTATAGATTTTTGTTAACTCAGCCTTGAACAATCGATTATACTTTTTTGTTTTAGATTTTTGTCTTCTCAGTCTTACATATGGAGCAATCCTTTACTTGATGATCAAGAAAACCAATGCGTAGAAATGTTAAGTAATTCACCAATAGAAAGCATTAAATGTGACAATAGTAAAGATTCAACTGTTTTCAATGAATCAAGAGTAAATAAAGAAAAAAATTTTATTCCTCAGTTAGATGGAAATTCCGATTTATGCAGAGATTCGTCAAGTGAGGATTTTCAATCATATTCAAGGAAAAGAAAACGAAAAAAATTAAAAAGTAAATCAAAGAAAAAATCTTCTAGCTTTGAAATTAATACAAGCTTAGATAGTTCTACTATCTCCTCTCTTACTTTAGAAAATATCTCCAACAAAAGTTCTCTAGAATGTAGAAAAAATTGTGTTGATAATAATTTAAAATATAATTTAAAAGATAACTTTGTTTATCCAAAAGTTTATCCTAGTCGAGTTAAAAATAAAAATTCTCTCGAAATTTCCGCTATGCCTGTGTTATGTTCAAAAGATTGTTTGCTAAAATCTAGTCCAAATATGAAACAGGAGAAAAAAAAGCGTACTCTAAAAACTACTTTAAAATCAGAGAAATCAGAGTTCTTTTTAAAAAATAAAGAATACTTGCAAAAAAAGTACAACTTGAAAAATTGTCAGGTTGTTTTATGCAACAACAAATCTATAACACAACAACATTGCTCTTCTTCAAAACTTCAAGACTCCAAAAATAAATTGAAATATAATTTAACGTCGACCACTAACAAACATTTCTCCAGCAAAAAATATAAAACTCAATCAGATGTGAATCAGATTAAAACAAGTCTTGAGTATAACACAGATCAAGAAGAGTGTCTTATTTCAGAAAGCCCTGGAGAAATTGATTGTTCAAGAAACTTGATAATGCTGACAGGTGTAACAAGTGTAACTTCGTTTAAAGAAAATCATTCTCCTACTTTAATTTCTTCTTCACAGTTTATTGAAGAACAAGTTTTGAATACCAACCAAACATGTTCAAATGATAAAGGATCAGAGCGAACTTGCTCAAAGGATGAAGTATTTGAGCAAATCTGCTTGAATGATGTAGTATCAAAGCAATCCTTCTTGAATGATGTAGTATTGAAACAAATTTTTTCTAATGATGAAAGTTCAGAGCAAACCTGCTTGAATGATGTAGTGTCAGAACAAATCTTTTCTACTGATGATAGTTCAGAGCAAACCTGCTTGAATGATGTAGTATTGGAACAAATCTTTTCTAATAATGAAAGTTCAGAGCAAACCTGCTCAAATGATTTAATATTGGAACAAATCTTTTCTAATAATGACAGTTCAGAGCAAACCTGCTTGAATGATGTAGTATTGGAACAAATCTTTTCTAATGATGAAAGTTCAGAGCAAACCTGCTCAAATAATTTAGTATTGGAACAAATCTTTTCTAATGATGAAAGTTCAGAGCAAACCTGTTTTAATGATAAAAATTTAAAACCAACCTGGTCTTATGATGAAAAATCGGAACAAACCTGCTCTAATAATAAAATATCTGAGCCAACCTGCTCAAATGATGCAGAAATAATGCAAACCAGTTTAAATGAAGAAATAAGGAACAATACTTTAAATAGTAATTTAAAAGTTTTATCTTATTGTAATAAAGAACCTGAAACATTAACACTGAGAGAGACACTTTTTTATAAGGAAGACAACACAAGTTACAATGAAACGGCACTACCATTTACAAAAGTTGGGGTTTTAGAAATTAATGATTCTGCAGATAAAGCTTCAACAAAAAGTAGTCAACAAAACTATTTAGAAAATAAAAAAAAAACTTGTCACAAAAGACTTAAGTATCCAGTTTCCTCTGTTCAAAATTGCTCATCAAGTTTTACCTTTTCAATGAATAACTATATATATACTCCCCTTGAGAAGCCACCTTCATATAACAAAGTTTTAAGTACGCTAGGTAAAAATAATCTCCAGGAAATAACTTATGAGGTGCCGTTTTATAGTGACAAAACGGATGTAGCTGGGTGAGGTTTACTTTGTTATTTTTTTTAAGTTTATATAAAATATAAAGAACTTCTATAAGTTTCACTTCTTTAATATCGGAAATTATTTTTTTCTGCAAAGTTTTTTTTTTTTTTTTTACTTTTAGAACACTAACTGAAAAGAACAATCCAAGTTGTAGAACAAAAGTATTAATTGAACATTTATAAATACATATTTGTGTAATTTTTATTTTAATGAATCTTTATTTTTTATTTTAATGAGTCTGTAATTTGATTTTAATGAGTCTGTAAATTCTACAATGTTTATTTTTTTATATTACTGTTAGTTTGTCATTGAACCTTTTATTGCTTTTTATTGCTATCTGCTTTGTCTTACAAAAGTTGAGCTCTGTTGCAGTATTACAAAGGTTGAGTTCTGCTGCTTTGCCTTACAAAGGTTGAGTTCTGCTGCAGTATTTTAAAGGTGTTCTTCAGAACTCTTTTCAATAATTACTAAACAAATTAACATCAAAAGCTTATCTAAATCTTACTTGGTCTCACAATTAGTTTTTCTACTTCTTTTTTCGAAAACAATTTGTAAGTATTAATGGTTTCAATTCTAGTAATAAATCAGTTTTGTGTGGTGTTCCTCAAAGTTCTGTTCTAGGTCCTCTTTTGTTTTTAATCTACGTTAATGACCTAATCAACTCTGTTTACTTCTCTTCAGTTCATTTGTTTGCTGATGATACAAATCTCTTGCACATCAACAAATTGTATCCTTTATGTAAGAATGTTAATTGGGATCTAAAAGGTATAGTTCACTGGTTAAATCTTGGATAATGTTACACTTAAGAATATTTACTATGCATTATTCTCATCTCATCTTAGCTATTGTTGTCAAGTTTGGGGTCAAGTTGGAAACTATTGCATTAACAAGTTGCTATTGTCTCAGCATCAATCCATCAGATTAATAAACTTCCAACCAATCAAATCAGATGCATCGGAGTCCTTCAAAAAACTTTTCATTCCAACATTTCTAGCGCTAGTAAAGTATGTTAATCTTCTTTTTGTTTTTGAATCTTTAAATAAAAACATACCATCTTCTATCACAAAAATGTTCACAGAAAGTAGACTTTTACATTCCTACTCGACTAGAAATATACACAATGGAAAACTAAATGTACCATCTTTTAAAACCCAGAAGTATGCTAAACATTCTATAGTTTATCAGTGCGTCTGTGAATGGAACAGGAGCCTTGCATGCATTTTGAATGAGTCAAAAAATATATATCCTAAAATATCTTTACTCCATCTTAAACGATATCAATTTTAAAAGTTCTAAAAAACTTTTTATCCTTACAATTAAAATATTATTTTAATTTTCTTTTCGTAATTACTACAATAATCATCAGTACTTTTTTTTTCTTTTTTTTTTATTATTGAAACCTGCAAATTGATTTCTACATGTTTGTTTTGATGTATATTTTATGTGCTTTGACCTGTGTGTTTATGGTCCATTTGTTTTAGTGTGTGTATTTGCTTATTATTACTTATATTAT